GTAGAAGTTCTTTATTTGTATTTATTTATTTATTTTCCAATCTTTTAAATTCTGGTCCCATTTTCATCCCTCCACATGTCCATCTCTCTACATCCAGTGTGTGCTTTTTCAATTTGTTTGTACTCATTTGAGAAGATAATTATGGACTTCAGTTAGTTTTTTTAGATAAGCTTTTCTAATGATTTTATATTTTGCTAAATATTTTAATATGTTGATATATTTTATACATATTTGTATATATTTTATTTATATATGATATATTTTTGATATCCAAAAATATTAAGTTGAGGCCTCTATTTTCTAATTTGAACTAGAAATCACATGGGTTTGATATGCACTTAAAGTAGGTAAACAAACATTTATAAACAGATTTAAATGTGGTGATGTTTTTGAAAACAAAAATAATGTGGTGATGTTTTTTCCCTCTTATCTCTGAGGAGGCAAATCATGACTACCAGGTACGTTGCTAGGTTTCAGAAACATCTGTGTCTTGAGCCCAAAGAAAAACTAGGTAACCCCTACACTAACAGAGAAGTAAGGATATGTTATGACATATCACTGTCTTTCTACACTATATTTCAAAAAACCACTAATAACCTCCTGTCCCTCCACTACTTAAAAAGATTCAGGGCTAAAGAATCCCAAATCCAGTGCTTTGGACCCAGAAGCCCCCCTTGCAATGGTTATGACCCAATCACAAAGTGGCAGTCCCTAAACCATTTTTAAAATATACTTAAAAACAAAATCTTCATGGCACTTGCTCAGGTAACAAAACTTTGACCTACGCTCTGACTCATTTTATCTTATGGCAGTATTACTGCCAAAGTATGAGGCTGGAAATATATATTTCTAATTCTTTATTTGTATTAACTTCACTTGTGGGTATGATAGCATGAATAACAAAGTCATAAGTATGACACGTTGAGCAAAACCGTAACAACCGTAACCGTAACCGTAACATGTGGGCTCCACAGTTCAACTACCTACCCCCTGGCAAGATTACCCCACCCATACTATAGATATTACTAATTAGGTACAGACAAGTTAGTTGTGACCTGAGGAGGAGAGGGGGTAGACAATACCCTCTAAAATATGCGCATATGGACATTTCAGAGTAGACACTACCTTTTCCCATGAGCTATGGCTACTAGATAACCTAAATAGGTTTGTATCTGGAGAGTGTCCATGTTAGAATCAAGACTTAAAACCCTGAGGATCAAAAAAAAGAGAAATGATTTAGCAATAGGGATATAATAATTGGAAAACTGAAAAATAATGTACTAAGGAACAGTCATAGTGTAACATAGGCCTCAGATAACCTTCCAAACTTGATGAGGCTCGCTCCCGCCATCTGGGAACAAAGTATAAGGTACTAGTCAAGTGACTGCAACTGTAGATGAGGATGATCAAGGTGTGAAGACGCGGATCTTTGAAGGATCCAGGATTGTCAGGTGTGTATCCAGTAGTCCAGTAGCCCTGATGAGGCCCAAACTGCTCATGCTGGTTTCCAGGTCCTGGAGGCTTTGCACCCGGTGGTCCTTACCCTGATAGAAGAACAGAAGCAACCTAGGGACACCCGAGCGGTAGGTAACTTCATTGGCTTGGAGAACTTGCAGCAACAATCTAAGCGACCTGTGACAGGCCAAAATATTCTGTGCCATGAGGGCTGGGAATACAAGGAGGGATGATTTTCCCCTGTACTGCTATCAGAAACAGGGCTTTGTCTTGATTGGTTTGAAAGCAGCAATAAGATCAGCTGTAGTCGAGGCTGGATCATTCAGTGATCTTGGTAAATGGAACATGCCATCCATTTTCACAATTTTTGCCTGTTTGGGTGGCATTAGGGTCGCAAAGAGCCATTTGATATAGTGTGGCATTTCCTCCATGCTTATACCATCAGGGTCACCTCTACATTTCAAGTTATAGCGTCACATTTGATTTTCCAGCATCTCTGTTCAAGGCTCTGTGTCCTACTGAGCCCTCTGGATCTTCTTAAACTGAGAGATATCTGCTGTGATTTTTCTGCGCAGTTCTACCAGAATGATTTTTAGAAGGACTGCAGTAACCTGCTTCTGATCATCAGCTGCAGGGACAGACTTTTTCTCAGGCGCTGGACTGAAAGATGCGCCTGCTACTAGATCTGCAGCAGAGTCCTCCGATGAATACAATGACCCATCATCTTATGGCGCCATTACGGGCCATGTGGCCTGTAATCTCGGCTAGTGGGCACCTTGTCCACACTGTATCTTATTGTTTTGTGGCCCATGGTGATGAGTGCCCACCTCTTACGTGTAAGTATTTCAGAAGAAATCTTTAGTTTTCAGTGGTGATCTGGTGGAGCTCAAACATTGTGCATCCACTTGAGTCTGTTGCTAGCTCCACTCCACAGGCTGAAAATATTTGTATATGAGTTGTTTCCTAGAAATATGGAATACCTACCTCTTCGCTGTGAGAGTTCACTTTTTCACTCTGAGAACCATCCCTTGATACTGGAAATCTGTCCATTCAGTCGTAGTGCGTTGCCAGTCAGCTTGAGTCTTTACCCATGTCATACCTCCGACCAGTCCTGAGATTTTCCTCTGATGTTCCAGTCATTCATCCTGATCCTTTCAAAAACTGTTAATTTACTCAGAGAAACTTACAAATCATCCTGAGGTTTTAAGAACCTGCCCACAATTTCTGAAAATCAACTCACCATAAACCAATTTTCCCCGAGACTTGGATAATTTCCACATTTACCCTGAGAACCCACTCTTCACACTGAAATCTTTTCTTTTTATTCAGAACATAGACCTTGCCAATCTGCTTCTACTAATGGTATATAATTATCAGCATTATGAAGGTTACAAAGTTTTCCAGTAGGTCATCTTTTGTCCTTTCTTTATATATGTGAAGATAGTTGACATGCCTATAAGAGATCTATTCGCTTGCCCTAGAAACATAAACACATCAAATAAAATCTCTGAATAATCCCTTTCCTAAATAAAATATCTATATTAGAAATATAAATGAGCAAGTTTAGCATAGACCTTACCAACTATTCAAATCTTTGTCAAGCGACTGACCAGCAATTTATTTTATACACATATATTTTCTCCCTGGATAAAAACCAAAATCTATGAATCTGGAAAAACACGTATGAAAGCTAATATTGCTTTCACACTAAACATTGCTTTATAACTTTACAACCCTTATGGCAAATTCCTATATCACTAACCTCCACAATAAAATTGTCCATTTGGCATGTATTTTTACCCCGAATTTGTTGGTTGTGCATTTTACAGTATAATATTTCTCTACATGGACATATTGTAATTTTTATATGCTCTAACTTGCCTATTTTTTTTTATTTATTTTTTTATTCTCATGGGCTCTGGATAAGTGTAAAGGTCTAGAATTTTCAGCTATTTAAGAAATGCAGAAAACAAGGAAGCTGTATTCCTACATGGCAGAGCTGGGGCTACTGGTACCCTCAGTGAATTCTCTAACCGTTTCTTTGCTTTCCTGCCTTGAATCATATCCAAGATTTCGTTCAGATCTTGTTCCATTTGAAATTAACACCTCAAACAAGTGCAGTCGTATGAGTAATTCAAGTAGTTCTGAAATGTCTCAGTGCACTTTTTGAAAAAGAAGAGTCTCTTAAGAAAAACTTGTAGGCACTTAAAAATACTGAAGGAGTTTGGAAGTCGATAGTTTGTTTCAGAATTATTATTTTATGGAGGCAAGAAAACAATGCCTGCGAGGTAAGTCAAGTCAATCTGGAAAGTGGTTTATGTCTAGTCTCAATCAATTCAGCTGCTCGCCAGTACCTGTAGTTTTGGGAGGTTTATTTATCTTGGCTGAATCAACATTTTCTGATTCCCGTGAATATATATACGAAAATAAACGATCCTGGGAATTACATTTGATCTGTTTCATTAAATGTATCAGATAACCAATATTGCTCTTGAAATACAGGCCTTGAAATTGCAAAAAGGGGGGTTGCTCAGTTTGTTTACTTTATGCATTTAAAGGGACAGCATCACACTAGAAATCTAAAATTTATATTACTGTCCTGAATTTTTGTTGGACGCGACATGAATATTTTCACCGCTAGCAGTTGCCTTTCATACAGATGTTCACATGTTGGTGAAAGCGGCCAAGCCTCAATGGTATGAACCACTTCCTGTTGGTAGAGTGACATTGCCAAAGACAATACAAAGAAGCAAACTAAGTGCAGATTTGTTAATTAGAACTAAGCAAAATAAGAGACGGGGAGTAGAGCTATAGCCACTTATGGAAAATCATACTATGTAGCGCAACAGCAGTAATCAAATTAAATTAAAACTGTCATATATTATATTATATATAATAATAATATTATTATTATGTTATTGGAAAACAAATATTACTTTAACTCGCTAAGGACTGAGGCAGTTGTACAAGTTGCATCAAAACAAAACGTAAACAAAACTTTGAATTTTATAACATGACAGGAGGCTTCATATTTTGCATAATCTTTCTTTACTCACTCCATAGCAGCAAAGAAAAAAATTTAAGAAAACTGAGAACCAATTAAATATAAGCAGTGACTATAAGAGGCATAGCCAACAGCATCACTTCCTCTTTCTTTGCTGCTCCATCACAAGATAAGTACTGAGTGTATTTCCTCTTTGTATTTTTTCTATTATTCTGTAAATTTTCTATTATTGTTCTGTTAGTAATTATTGTTTTCTAGCTAATTATCGGTTATTTGTTGTTTTTCATTCTTTGGGGGCTTGAGGGTCTCCTCTCCCGTCTCTCAGCCTGCCTCCGGCTCACTGGGGTCTCAGGACGGCTCCCTCACACTGCACGTTTGTGGCGCAGCACTTTCCCGTGCTTGTGCAAACACTCAGGCACGTTCGGCTGCTTTCCACCAAACTTGCCTCTTTCGTCTCGCGAACATCCTCCTAGCGTGAACGTTCGGGACTTGTTTTCTCCTTCCTGTGCACACGGTTTATTTGCCGTGCATTCGCGTGTACTTACTCCCAAACGCCCAACTGTTCAGTCCTCGTTTTCCCGTTGGGTTGCTTCTGTGTTCGACTGCCTAATGTTCGTTCATCTCCTGAACGTCGGAGACGTGTCTGATTCATGCTTTTTTTCACAGGAGGTCCCACTGCTCCCATTTTGGCTCCGTAATCTCGCGAGAACCGCTCGACCATCTTAGGCACTCTGGAATCCCCTGAGATGGAGCTGTCTCTCTCTGCTAGTGTTGCAAACTTCACCTTGCCTTCCACCTTCATACTGGGACCAGGCAGCAGGTTGGTACCTTGCTTGGGGTTGGTTAATACCAGTTGGGATCTCCCTTATCCTGGTTGGGGTGAGCCCCCTTTTTGTGCTGCTGAGCAGACCTGTGCATGCAGGCTCTGATTCTCCTGGGTGAGCCTTCCTATCATATTAGCCTACTACTGGCAACTATCTGAACAGGCATTCAGAACACCTGTGACAAACCTCCCCCCTGGTCCCTAGGCCTCTTCTACAGTAGTGCCACTCCTTGACCATCACGGTCTCTGAGACCACAGTTATTGTTGTGCCCACTGAAGACAGTCATTTGGGTGAGCCCCAATGTACTTTGGTTTAACCATGGAAGAGTTGCAAGCCCCTGTCTACCTGCAGGCCGCTTTGATGGAGAAGGCACTTTCCAAGGCGTTTCCCTTAGGCCAAGACCCCGCTAAGATGGCCCTCAAATGAACCCATCATGGGGCAGATTCAGAGTACTCTGACTCCTCCAGGGAACGCTCCTTCCTGGCCAAATACCACTGGAAGGGTGAAAGCTCTACTGTCAAGAAGGGCAAAGGCAAAGCACTGCTCAAGCACGGAAGAGCCACGGCACAACCGGTCCAAGGACCTGCACAGATTCCCTCCTTGGATGAGGAGCAGGAGCCCACAAATGCACTCACAATTCTGGATGAGTGGCAGGCGGAAGCGTCCAAATCTGATGAGAGCCCATGGGACTCCACAACTAGGTCTGACTCCATTTACGTAAATGAAATGTTTCTGGGTGACCCCCAGAAAGAAGACACTGTGACCGTCCGTGACCCGGGCTATCAAGATGACACTGAAATGTTCCTGGACGCTTGCGGTCAACACATGTTTGACCCGCAGAACAACCGCCACACTCGCTGTCCCGGGTGATTTATTTGGCGGATGACGCCTATACCCATGCGGATATTTTCACCTCAGATATGGTGCGCGAGTGGGCATGCGATATAAGGGAGAGGGCACAGAGGTGCTTTTGCTTCCTCGGCAATACTAATATGGCCCTCTCTGTGGCGAGACACTGAGCAGCACTTTTCCGCATAGACCAAAAACAAGCCGATCTCGGCACCAAGGAGCTTGGACCCTCGGCACAAGTTAAATTGTTTGGAGTGGCCTCTCTAAAAAAACGTAACAAACACGTTAATATATTTACTTCACTGAATAAGGCTCAGTCTTCAATGCAAAGATTCTTCCGCCATCCAACACCCATAGGTGTTTTTGGCAGGGCTGGTTGGCAGAGGGGCCCTGCCTCCAGTCACTTCTGGCCATCAGGCCCTAGTACAAACCAGCACCAACCCTTCTACCTGGAGGTTTAGAACCACCAACGCTTCCATTATTCCAGAGGCTCGGACTGCGGCACTGTGGAAGAGGTCGTTCCCGCGCAAGATTCACCTCTGGTAAGTCACCATTTTATTTTTCCTTTCACATACTGTCCAAGTAGCAGGTCATGCCTCTCTTTTTCTCCAGAACTGGGCAGACCTTTCATCAGACACTTGGATCATGCAAACCTAGCAGGACTACCGGATAGTGTTCGAGGATGCCGCGGTTCAGATCCAACTCCTTCATCCACTAAGATTCGCCACCGCAGACGAGCAACTGATAGACCGGGAACTACGAAAGGTGCTATCCAACCGGCTACGGACCCGGGCGGATTTCTCAGCAACATCTTCTTGGTCAAGAAGAAATCTGGGGAATTTCGCCCGGGAACTGAACACCCACGTAGTGTACCGTCACTTCAAAATGGAGGGTATTCACCTCCTTTGGGACCTGCTCCGGGACAGCGTCTGGTTCACCCGCCTGGACCTCAAGGATGCATACCTTTCGATTCCCATACACGAAATGAGTTGTCCGTTCCTACGTTTCCTCTGGCACGGCGCCACGTGGCAGTTCACATGCCTGCTGTTCGGACTCAGCTCAGCATCCTGGTGCTTTACAAAAATGCTGAAACCCATGGTAGTGCACCTCCGGACTCAGGGGATACATTGCATCATATATCTAGACGATATCCTACTCTTCAACGAGTCCAGGGACAGGCTCCAAGTTCACACCACCTACACCATCCAGTTATTAGAGTCCTTGGGCTTCGTGATCAATCAGCCACAATCGGCGCTGAACCCCTCTCAGATGGTACAGTTCCTGGGATTCGAAATAGACTCCACATCCTGTACCCTGTGTCTACCTCTCCAGAAGGTCTCCGCCATTGGAAAAGAGATTCGCAAAGTGCTTTGAATGCCATCCATCTGAGAGGAACTGCTCCCACACATGGAACCCCTATTCCAAGACCTAATGAAAGGGACATCACCTACTAAAGATATGACCCAAGCACACATCATACTCCTACCCAAACCAGACAAAGACCATACCCAACCGGAGGCATACAGACCCATCTCATATAAACCATGATAGCAAAATTCTGGCCACAATACTTGCAACTAGACTCAACCCATACCTGACTCACTTAATCCACTCAGACCAAGTGGGGTTCATCCCCGGAAGACAGCTATTTGAAAATATGAGATAAAACATCTACATATTCTCGACGCTGACCACAGCTAAAATACCATCACTAGCCCTCTCACTTGATGCCAAAAAAGTGTTAGACTGCGTAAACTGGCCCTACATGTTCACACTACTGGAACATATCAACATACCTCCCCCTTTCATCATGGCAGTACGAGCACTTTATACTAATGTAACAGCGCAAATAAAGATAACGGTGACGACCTGCCCACATTTCAACATATACAATGGCACCCGACAAGGATGCCCCCTCTCCCCGCTTCTCTTTGTACTAACTCTCGAACCACTCCTCTAGGCAATCAGGGAACACCCCGAAGTAGAAAAACAAGAGTTCCTAGTATCAGGATATGCGGATGACGTTCTCCTCACCTTAACTAACCCCATCCCCTCCATGCAAGCACTTTAACCCTTCCTGTGGACATATAGCGCACTATCAGGATACAAGGTTAACATGGAGAAATCCAGCACTTCACCTCGCACAATCGGATATCACCCGAATCACTTCAGATTACCGCATACGCATCTCACCCACATCTCTCACATACCTCGGCATCAAATTACCCGTGGATCCCTCAGTGCTCCACAGATTAAATTATACACCCATGATAGCCAAACTCATAGCGGATATGGAGACCTGGATGGACAAACCAATATCCTGGATCGGGAGAATACATTCAATTAAGATGAATGTCCTGACATGAATGAAAAAGAAAAAAAGAAAAAACTACCAATAAGGGTCTCAATAACATAATCAATACTATCATAAGTAGAATGAACATTAAAATATAACTTTTAATAGATGTACTAAAAAATAGAAATATGAAAAATAAATGATAAAAACAAAAAGCACAAGGCTAAATCTAAGTCCTGTGATCTATCAAAGGCTAAACACTGAACCCTCCAATAGAAAAAGTAGCCAAGAGAGTATCAGTGAGGAAGAAGATACTTAGTAAATAAGAGTATATCACTTGCTGCAAACATGTATAGCAAGAATGGTAGAGGGGAGCACAGAGTACATCTATACTCCAGGCTCTCCTGCAATAAAGAGTCTACTGGATATAAAAGAGATGTCTCTTGTGCTCCAGATATCCTAAACAACACCCCTATGTGGTTAGGAAGGTGATAATGTAATAATTATCAGTGTAAATGAAGTACCTATAGCACAGGAGGTATAAGAAACAGAAAGACCGCTAGGGTTAGTATGTTGTAATCAATTAAATAAAAGGTATGAAATGTAATAGTCCTAGCGCTGGCTTGTAGGTAAAGATCTAAGTGCCTTCGAGGGCACCCCTTATAAAATGCCTATACTGTCTCTATAACCCCCCATTATAAGCTAGAAAACGAGACTAAGAAAAGAAAAAACGGATGCCTGGATAAAAGAGCGATATCGCTGACAAGATCGCGGCTGTGTTAATACAGCAGCAGGAGTATGCCCAATGTCACGGCTGCTAGTGTGGTCCAACACGCAGAAACTATGTAAACATATACATTAAAAAGGAAAGGAAATAAAAGGACAAAGCGTAAACCGGACCTTAGAATGGCCGCACTAATACGCTAGAGATAGAGAATGGTCAAAGGGAAAGCCGAGGTCAAGGAAGCCAGAAATACTCAGATACCGGTTAAACAAGCCAAGTCAGGGGAACCAGAATTCGGAATAACCAGGGAAAAGCCAAGATCAGGATATCAGGAAGTCAGAATCACAAAGATAAACGCACTCTCGGGAACCAGGAACAGGAAACCACGACAGGGCAAGGAACTGGAGTGAATTAGGGATTTAAATATCCCTCTCTGTGCTCAAATTGGTCAGAGGGTGACCTCTAACCCCAGAACGTTCGTATAAATTTGAGGGGCGGAGCTTGTGGTGTGTGCGACCACGTGGTCAGCGCCATCTTTGATTTTGGGCGCAACGCCCAGAAGACGAGGAGGAGAGGTTCCCGGCTCGCCGGCGAGCAGGTAAGCTCGCAGTATCGGCGAGGTCATGCCGGTCGGGCACGGCTGTGCCATGTGGCGGGTCGGTAGACCCCACTCAAATACCGCTCACTGAGCGGGAAGGAGCCGGCTTATGAGGGAAGCGGTTGTGAAACGACCGGATAAGATGGGGCGCATGAACCTGGTCAGCAGGAACCCAACAACGTTCCTCAGGACCATTTCCTTTCCAGTCAACTAGATAAGACAAAATACCCCTGGAGATTTTGGAGTCCAATATAGAACGAACTTCGTACTGCTCCTGATCACCCACTACCAAGGGCGGAGCAGGGGTAGCCACTTTAGTGTATCGATTGCAAGTAAGAGGCTTAAGCAAGGACACATGAAATTTATTGGCAATTCTCATGTGAGCAAGAAGTGCCAATGAATAAGTCACAGGGTTGATACGACGGAGGACCCGCAAAGGACCTATGTACCGAGGGGCAAATTTCATGGAAGGAACCTTAAGTTTGACATGACGTGTGGATAACCACACCTTG